AGCTGAACTCATAAACTGCTTTTTGTTCCCAGGTGCTCTGTCACAGGAATTTAGGGCTTTATTTATGAGTTTCCGTTATGCTGCCGCCGTCTTTTTTGTTTCCTTCAGACCTGCGCAGCCCAGCAAGGAGGCCGCCTAGTCACTGTCGGCCTATGGCAGCTTTGCTGAGCTGCTGTGGGCTGCGCCCCGCTGCCGAGTGAACTTGCCTGCAGTCCTGATTATATGGGTGTAGTTAGAACTGCTTTGGCGATGGTGGCCCGCCTCTGTTGGGGCGGAGTCTCTGCTGTGACGGGTTGCCTTGGCAACGGCGGGCTGCCTCAGCAATGGCGGGTTGCCTTGGCAACGGCGGGCTGCCTCGGTAATGGCGGACGCCCCTCCCCGACAGAGCTGGACCGTCCCGGGTTCAGCTGCGCTTGCTGTGAAACTCTCAATCCAGAGTTTCTGGTTGGTGTTCTTTTGTGGGGGTGGGGCCAGCCGAGCCTGATCGCCTGGCTCCCTGCCTCAGAGCCTTTTTTAAGTTCGTGATCCAGTCGCCTGTTGAAGAGGCGCCGGGGTCTGTTTGTTTTCCCCTGTGGCTTAAACAGCGGCACTGAGGTTTGTGGCGCTTTTTTTTTTTTTGCCCTGGAATCTACTGTCCTGGTTCTCTGCTCAGTCCCCTTTTTGAACCAGCGTATGGGCGACTTCCCGTGGCTCCAATCGCCAGCCAAAAGGGCCCCCGGACCGGTGTATTTTGTACGGAGAACCGCGGCTCCGGGGCGCCAACAAAGCAGCTGCGCGGGGCAAAGCAGCGGCGCTGGCCGGCACAGCCGCGCTGGCCGAAACAGCTGTGCTGGCCGAAACAGCCGCGCTGGCGACCGTGGAGCTCCTCTGCCCGGGAATTTCCTAGTCTGTGGGCATTAAAAACTCGGCATCCACTCACCCTCTGCGCTTTCACTGGGAGCTGCAATCCTGAGCTGCTCCTAAACGGCCATCTTGGATCTTGGTTCTTGGCTCTTTATCCAATTTGTCAGTCTGTGTCTTTTAATTGTGTAATTTAGCCCACTTACATTTAAGGTTAATATTGGTATGCGTGAATTTGATCCTGCCACTTTGATGCTAGCTAGTTGTTTTGCCCATTAGTCCATGTGGATTCTTCATAGTGTTAAAGGTTTGTACAATTTCGTATGCTTTCAGAGTGGCTGGTACTGGTTGTTCCTTTCCAAGTTTAGTGATTCCTTCAGGAATTCTTGTAAGGTTGGCCTGGTGGTGACTAAATCTCTCAACAATTGCTTGTGTGTAGCGGATTTTATTTCTCCTTCACTTATGAAGTTTAGTTTGGCTGGATATGAAATTCTGGGTTGGAAACTCTTTTCTTAAAGGATGTTGAATATTGGCCTCCACTCTGTTCTGACTTGTAGGGTTTCTACCAAGAGATCTGCTGTGAGTCTGATGGGCTTGTATTTGTGGGTAACCCGACCTTTCTCTCTGGCTGCCTTTAGTATTTTTTCCTTCATTTCAACCCTGGTGAATCTGACAATTATGTTCCTAGGGGTTGCTCTTCTTGAGAAATATCTTTGTGGTGTTCTCTATATTTTCTGAACTTGAATGTTAGCCTGCCTTGATAGGCTAGGGATGTTCTCCTGGATACTATCCTAGAGAGTGTTTTCCAACTCAGTTTCACTCTCCCCATCACATTCAGGTACACCACAATAAGGTAGATTTGGTCTTTTCACATTACTCCATATTTCTTTCTTTTTTTGAGTCAGAGTTTCACTCTTGTTACCCAGGCTGGAGTGCAATGGCATGATCTTGGCTCAACACAACCTCCGTCTCCTGGGTTCAAGCAATTCTCCTGCTTCAGCCTCCCAAGTAGCTGGGATTACAGGTGCACACCACCATACCAAGCTAATTTTTGTATTTTTAGCACAGACGGGGTTTCACCATATTGACCAGGATGGTCTCAATCTCTTGACCTCATGGTCCAACCACCTCAGCCTCCCAATGTGCTGGGATTATAGGTGTGAGCCACTGCACCTGGCCATAACCCCATATTTCTTGGATGATTTGTTCATTTCTTTTCACTCATATTTCTCCAATCTTGCCTTCTCACTCTATTTCATTGAGTTGATCTTCAATCTCTGTTATCCTTTCTTCTGCTTGATCTCAGATCTGTATGAAGCAGACCTAATAAACATCCACAGAACTCTCGACCCCAAATCCACAGAATATACATTCTTCTCAGCACCACATCGCACTTACTCTAAAATTGACCACATAATTGGAAGTGAATCACTCCTTAGGAAATGCAAAAGAATGGAAATCATAACAAACAGCCTCTCAGACCATAGTGCAACCAAATCAGAACTCAAGATTTAAAAAAATTACTCAAAACTGCATAACTACACAGAAACTGTACAACCTAATCCTGAATGACTACTGGATAAATAATGAAATGAAGGCAGAAATAAAGATGTTCTTTGAAACCAATGAGAACAAAGACACAACATACCAGAATCTCTGGGACAGATTTAAAGCAGTATGTAGAGGGAAATTTACAGCACTAAATGCCCACACGAGAAGCAAGGAAATCTAAAATCAATACCCTAACATCACAATTAAAGAACTAGAGGAGCAAGATCAAACAAACTCAAAAGTTAATAGAAGACAGGAAATAACTAAAGACCAGAGCAGAACTGAAGGAGACAGAGACATAAAAACACTTCAAAAAATCAATAAATCCAGGAGCTGGATTTATGAAAAGACCAACAAAATAGATAGACCACTAGTCAGACTAATAAAAAAGAAGGGAGCGAAGAATCAAATAGATGCAATAAGAAATGATAAAGGGGATGTCACCACCGATCCCACAAAAATATAAACCATCAGAGATTACAGACAACTCTATGCACATAAACCAGTAAATCAAGAAGAAATGGATAAATTCCTGGACACTTACACCCTCTCATGGCTAAACCAGGAAGAAGTTGAATCCTTGAATAGCCCAATAACAAGGTGTGAAATTGAGGAAGCAATTAATAGATTACCAACTAAAAAAAGTCCAGGACCAGATGGGTTCACAGCCAAATTCTACCAGATGTACAAAGAGGAGCTCGTACCATTCCTCCTGAAACTATTCCAAACAATACAAAAAGAGGGAATCCTCCCTAACTCATTTTATGAGACCAACATCATCCTGATTCCAAAACTTGGCAGAGACACAACTAAAAAAGAAAATCTCAGGCCAATATCAATGATGAACATTGATGCAAAAATCATCAATGAAATATTGGAAAACCAAATCCAACAGCACATCAAAAAGCTTATCCAACACAATCAAGCCAGCTTCATCCCTGGGATGCAAGCCTGGTTCAACATATGCAAATCAAAAATGTAATCCACACATAAACAGAACCAAAGGCAAAAACCAAATAATCTCAATGGATGCAGAAAAGGCCTTCAACAAAATTAAACATCGCTTTATGCTAAAAACTTAGCAAACTAGGTATCAATGAAACATCTCAGGATAATAAGCTATTTACAACAAACCCACAGCCAATATCATACTGAATGGGCAAAAACTGGAAGCTTTCCCTTTGAAAACTGGTACAAGACAAGGATGTCCTCTCTCACCACTCCCATTCAACATAGTAATGGAAGTTCTGGCCAGGGGAATCAGGCAGGAAAAAGAAATAAAGGATATTCAATTAGGAAAAGAGGAAGTAAAATGTCTATTTGCAGATGACATGACTGTATGTTTAGAAAACTCCATCGTCTCAGCCTAAAATCTCCTTAAGCTGATAAGCAACTTCAGCAAAGTCTCAGGATACAAAATCAACGTGTAGAAATCAGAAGCATTCCTATACACCAATAACAGACAGAGAGCCAAATTATGAGTGAATTTGCATTCATAATTGCTATAAAAACAATAAAATACTTAACAATAAAACTAACAAGGGATGAGGAGGACCTCTTCAAGGAGAACTACAAACCACTGCTCAAGAAAATAAGAGGACACAAACAGATGGAAAAATATTCCATGCTCATGATTAAGAAGAATCAATATTGTGAAAATGGCCATACTTCCCAAAGTAATCTACAGATTCAATGCTATCCCCATCAAGCTCCCTTTCTTCACAGAATTGGAAAAAGCCACCATAAACTTCATATAGAACCAAAAGACAGCCCACATAGCAAAGTCAATCCTCAGCAAACGCAATGGCAAAAAAGCCAAAATAGACAAATGGGATCTAATTAAACTTAAGAGCTTATGCACAGCAAAAGAAGCTAACATTACAGTGGACTGACAAACAACAGAATGGGAAAAAATTTTTGTGAGCTACCCAACTGGCAAAGGGCTAATAACAAAAATCTACAAAGAATTTAAACAAATTTATAAGAGAAAACAACCCCATCAAATAGTGGGCAGAGGAGATGAACAGATACCTTTCAAAAGAATACATTTATGCAGCCAACAAACATAAGAAAAAAGCACATCATCACAGCCATTAGAGAAATTCAAATCAAATCTACATTGAGATACCATCTCATGCCAGTTAGAATGGTGATCATTAAAAAATCAGGAGACAACAGATGTGGAGGGGTTGTGGAGAAATAAGGACCCTTTTACACTGTTGGTGGGAGTGTAAATTAGTTCAACCATTGTGGAAGACAATATGGCAATTCCTCAAGGATCTGGAACTAGAAATACCATTGGACCCAACAATCCCATTACTGGGTATATACCCAAAGGATTATAAAACAGTCAACTATAAAGACATATAGACATGTATGTTTATTGCAGTACTGTTCACAATGACAAAGGCTTGAAACCAACCCAAATGTCTATCAAAGATAGACTGGACGAGGAAAATGTGGCACATAGACACCATGGAATACTATGTAGTCACAAAAAAAGGATGAGTTCATGTCGTTTGCAGGGACATGGATGAAGCTAGAAACCATCATTCTCAGCAAAGTGACATAAGAACCGAAAACTGGGGGTTCGATCCAAGATGGCCGTTTAGGAACAGCTCGGAGTTGCAGGTCCCAGTGAAAGTGCAGAGGGTGAGTGGACGCTGCATTTTTATAGCCCAAGACCAGGAGATTCCCAGGCAGAGAAGACACATGGGTCGCCAGCGAGGCTGTTTTGGCTGGCGTGGTTCTTTTGGTCAGCAAGTCTGCTTTGCCCGGCGTGGCTGCTTTGTTGGTGGCCAGGCCAGTCGCTCTCCATACAAAATACAATGGACTGGGTGCCCTTTTGGCTGGTGATTGGAGCCCTGGGAAGCTGCACATTCATCTGATTAAAGAGTGGACTGAACAGGGAGCCAGGCCAGGAGATACCTGAGCAAAAAAAGTGCCACAAATCTCAGCACTGCTGTTTAAGTGGGCACAGTAGGTCACCATACGGGAAACAGATCCCAGCGCCCTTTCAACAGGAGACTGGAACACCTGGAATAAAAAAGAAAAATAAAAAAGGCTCTGAGGCAGGGAGCCAGGCGATCAGGCTCGGCTGGTCCCACCCCCACAAAAGAACAACAATCAGAAACTCTCTGGATTGAGAGTTTCACAAAAAGCACAGCTGAACCTGGGATGGTCTAGCTCTGTTGGGGAGGGGCGTCCGCCATTACCGAAGCACTCCACCAATAAGGAGGCAGTCCGCCATTGCTGAGGCACTCTGCTGTTGCCAAGATGACCTGCCATGCCGAGGCAACCTGGCATTACAGAGAGAGTCCACCAATACAGAGGCAGGCCACCATTGCCGAGGCAGTGCCAACAACGCCCATATAAACAAGACTGCAGGGAAGTTCACAGGGCAGCTGAGCAGAGCCCACAGAGCTAAGCAAAGCCTCTTCAGGCAGACAGGGACGAGGCTGCCCCTTGCAGGGCAGGGCAGCCCTGAAAAAAAAAAAAGGCAGGAGCACAACGGAAACTCATAAATAAAGCCGTAACTGCCTGGGACGGAGCACCTGGGAACAAAAAGTGGTTTATGAGTTCTGCTGCAGCAGACCTAAACATACCTGCCCAGCAGCTCTGAATGAACAATGGAGTTCACAGCTCAACACTTGAGCTCTTGTAAAAGACAGACTGTCTCCGCAAGCACCTCCCTGACCCCTGTATACACAAAGAGTCACCTCATAAAGGAAAGATCGGACTATTTGGCAGGTATCCTTCTGGGACAAAGCAGAAGAAGAAACTGGTAGCAACCCTTACTGTTCTGCAGCCGCTGCAGGTGATCCTCAGGCAAGCGGGGCCTGGAGTGAACCTTAGGAGTCCTACAGCAGAGGGGCCAGGCTATTAGAAGGAAAACTAAGAAACAGAAATAACTTCATCATCAACAAACTAGACATCTACTCAGAGACCCAATTTGAAAGTCAGCAACTACAAAGACGACAGGTAGATAAATTCATAGAGATGGGAAGAAACCAGCGCAAAAAGGATGAAAACACCTGAAACCAGAACACCTCTCCTACTAGAAGGGATCACAACTCCTCACCACCAAGGGAACAAGGTTTAATGGAGAATGAGTGTGATGAAATGACAGAATCAGACCTTAGAAGGTGGATAGAAAGGAACTTCTGTGAACTAAAAGAACATGTTCTAACCCAATGCAAAGAAACTAAGAACTTTGAGAAAAGATTTGACGAGATGCTAACAAGAATGGACAATTTAGAAAGGAATATGAGTGAATTGATGCAGCTGAAAAACACAACACGAAAACTTCGTGAAGCACGCACAAGTTTCAACAGCCAAATTGACCAAGCAGAAGAAAGGATATCAGAGGTTGAAGGTCAACTCAATGAAATAAAATGAGAAGGCATGATTAGAGAAAAAAGGGTAAAAAGGAATGAACAAAGTCTCCAAGAAATGTGGGACTATGTGAAAAGACCTAATCTACGTTTGATAGGTGTAACTGAATGGGATGAAGAGAATGAATCCAAGCTGGAAAATACTCTTCAGGATATTATCCAGGAAAACTTTCCCAACCTAGCAAGGCAGGCAAATATTCAAGTCCAGGAAATACAGAGAACACCACAAAGATATTCCTCAAGAAGAACAACCCCAAGGCACATAATCATCAGATTCACCAGTGTTGAAATGAAGGAGAAAATGCTAAGGGCAGTCAGAGAGAAAGGTCGGGTTACCCACAAAGGGAAACCAATCAGACTCATAGCAGATCTCTCAGCAGAAACCCTACAAGCCAGAAGAGAGTGGGGGCCAATATTCAACATCCTTAAAGAAAAGAACTTTCAACCCAGAATCTCCTATCCAGCCAAACTAAGCTTCATAAGTGAAGGAAAAATAAAATCCTTTGTGAACATGCAAGTACTCAGAGATTTCATCACCACCAGGCCTGTTTACAAGAGCTCCTGAAAGAGACTCTACACATAGAAAGGAACAACCGGTACAAGCCACTCCAAAAACATGCCAATGGCAAAGAGCATCAACACAATGAAGAACCTGCATCAACTAATCGGCAAAAGAGCCAGGTAGCACCAAAATGGCAGTATCAAATTCACACATAACAATATTAACCCTAAATGTAAATGGACTAAATGCCCCAATCAAAAGACACAGACTGGCAAATTGGATAAAAAGCCAAAACCCATCGGTGTGCTGTATCCAGGAAACCCATTTCACATGCAAGGTTACTCAAAGGCTCAAAATAAAGGGATGGAGAAAGACTTACCAAGAAAATGGAGAGCAAAAAAAAAGCAGGAGTTGCAATTCTCATCTCTGATAAAATAGACTTTAAAGAACAAAGATCAAAAGAGACAAAGAAGGACATTACATAATGGTAAAAGGATCAATGCCACAAGAAGAGCTAACAATCCTAAATATATACACATCCAATACAGGAGCACCCAGATACTTAAGGCAAGTTGTTAATGACTTACAAAGAGACTTAGACTCCCACACAATTATAGTTGGAGACTTTAACACCCCATTGTCAATATTAAACAGATCAACCAGACAGAAAATTAACAAGGATATCCAGGACTTGAACTCAGGCCTGGATCAAGCAAACCTAATAGACATTTACAGAACTCTCCACCACAAATCCACAGAATATACATTCTTCTCAGCACCACATCACACCTACTCTAAAATTGACCACATAATCGGAAGTAAATCACTCCTCAGCAAATGCAAAAAACCGGAAATCATAACAAACAGTCTCTCAGACCACAGGGCAATCAAGTTAGAACTCAGAATTCAAAAACTAACTCACAACCACACAGCTTCATGCAAACTGAACAACTTGCTCTTGAATGTTGACTGGATAAACAATGAAATGAAGACAGCAATAAAGATGTTCTTCGACACCAAAGAGAATGAAGACACAACATACCAGAATCTCTGGGACACATTTAAAGCAGTTTGAAGAGGAAAATATGTAGCAATAAGTGTCCACATGAGAAGCAAGGAGAGATAAAAAATTGACACTCTATTGTCAAAATTGAAAGACCTAGAGGAGCAAGATCAAAAAAACTCAAAACCTAGCAGAAGGCAAGAAATAGCTAAGATCAGGGCAGAACTGAAAGAGGAAGAGACACAGAAAAGCCTTCAAAAAATCAATAAATCCAGGAACTGGTTTTTCAAAAAGATCAACAAAATAGACCACTAGCTAGGTTAATAAAAAAGAGAAGAGAGATTAACCAAATTGACGCAATAAAAAAAGATAAAGGGGATATCACCACAGATTCCACAGAAATTCAAACCATCATCAGAGATTATTACAAACAACTCTATGCACACAAACTAATAAACCTGGAAGAAATGGATAAATTCCTGGACACTTGCCTCTTCCCAAGCCGAAACCAGGAAGAAGTCAAAACCCTGAACAGCCCTATAACAAGGTCTGAAGTTGAGGCAGCAATTAAGAGCTTACCACCCAAAAAAAGGCCAGGTCCAGATGGATTTACAGCCGAATTCAACCAGACATACAAAGAGGAGCTGGTACCATTACTTCTGAAACTATTCCAAACAATACAAAAAGAGGGAATTCTTCCCAAATCATTTTATGAGACCAACATCATCCTGATACCAAAACCCAGCAGAGACTCAACAAGAAAAGAAAACTTCAGGCCAATATCCATGATCAACATAGATGCAAAAATCTTCAATAAAATACTGGCAAGCCAATTGCAAGAGCACATCAAAAAGCTAATCCACCATGATCAAGCAGACTTCATCTCGGTGTTGCAAGGCTGGTTCAACATACACAAGTCTATAAACGTAATACACCACATAAACAGAAGCAAAGACAAAAAGCACACGATTATCTCAATTGATGCAGAGAAGGCCTTTGACAAAATTCAACAGCCCTTTTTTCTAAACACGTTCAATAAGCTAGGTATTGACGGAACGTATCTCAAAATAATAAAAGCTATTTACGACAAACCAACAGCCAATATCATACTGAATGGGCAAAAACTGGAAGCATTCCCTTTGAAATCTGGCACTAGACATGGGTGCCCTCTCTCACCACTCCTATTCAATATAGTACTGGAAGTCCTAGCGAGAGCAATCAGGAAAGAAAAAGTAATAAAGGGTATTGAAATAGGAAAGGAGGAAGTCAAATTGTCTCTATTTGCAGATGACATGATTGTATATCTATAAGACCCCATTGTCTCAGCCCCAAATCTCCTGATACTGATAAGCAACTTCAGCAAAGTCTCAGGATACAAAATCAATGTGCAAAAATCACATGCATTCCTATACACCAATAACAGACTTAAAGAAAGCCACATCAAGAACGAACTGCCATTCACAATTGCCACAAAGAGAATAAAATATCTAGGGATATGACTAACAAGGAATGTAAAGGACCTCTTCAAGGAGAACTACAAGATACTACTCAATGAAATAAGAGAAGACAGAAACAGATGGAAAAACATTCCATGTTCCTGGGTAGGAAGGATCAATATCGTGAAAATGGCCATACTGCCCAAAGTAATATACAATGCTATCCCCATCAAGCTACCAATGACCTTCACAGAACTGGAAAAAAACCACCTTAAACTTCATATGGAACCAAAAGAGAGCCCGCATAGCCAAGTCAATTCTAAGCAAAAAGAACAAAGTGGGAGGCTTCACACTCTGGACTTCAAACTATACTACAAGGCTACAGTAATCAAAACAGCATGGTACTGGTACCAAAACAGAGATATAGACCAATGGAACACAACAGAGGCCTCAGAGGCAACACAACATATCTACAACCATCTGATCTTTGAGGAACCTGACAAAAACAAGCAATGGGGAAAGGATTCCCTGTTTAATAAATGGTGTTGGGAAAACTGGCTAGCCATGTGCAAAAAGCAGAAACTGGACCCCTTCGTGACACCTTACACTAAAATTAACTCCAGGTGGATTAAAAACTTAAACATAAGACCTAACACCATAAAAACCCTAGAAGAAAAGTTAGGCAAAATCATTGAGGACATAGGCGTAGGCAAGGACTTCATGACCAAAACACCAAAAGCATTGGCAACAACAGCCAAAATAGACAAACAGGACCTAATCAAACTCCACAGCTTCTGCACGCCAAAAGAATCAGTCATTAGAGTGAATCAGCCACCAACAGGATGGGAAAAAAATTTTGCAGTTTACCCATCTGACAAAGGGCTGATATCCAGAATTTACAAAGAACTAAAACAGATTTACAAGAAAAAAACAAACAAGCCCATTCAAAAGTGGGCAAAGGATATGAACAGATACTTTACAAAAGAAGACATACATGAGGCCCACAAGCATATGAAAAAATGCTCATCATCACTGGTCATCAGAGAATTGCAAATCAAAACTACACTGAGATACCATCTCACGCCAGTTAGAATGGTGATCATTAAAAAATCTGGAGACAACAGATGCTGGAGAGGATGTGAAGACATGTAAATTAGTTCAACCATTGTGGAAGTCAGTGTGGCAATTCCTCAAGGACCTAGAAATAGAAATTCCATTTGACCCAGCAATACCGTTACTGGGTATATATCCAAAGTATTATAAATCGTTCTACTATAAGGACATATGCACACGAATGTTCACTGCAGCACTGTTTACAATAGCAAAGACCTGGAACCAACCCAAATGCCCATCGATGATAGACTGGACAGGGAAA